CATGTCTCCCGCCAAGCGTACCGGCAAATCGTCGGGCAAGGTTCCCATCCACCACACCTCCGGTCAGTCCGTCTTCCATGTCGCCCACCGATCTGCGGGTTCTAGCCCAGGCTCTTTCCGATCAGGTGCAAACCCTGACGGCGGAGCTCCAGACGGCTCAAGATGCCCAAGACCAAGCTGCGTCTCTACACACTACCCAACTTCAGACCTTGCGGGCCCAAATCCATGACCAAGCGATGGAGATCCAGGGGTGGGAGCACCGTGCGGCCTCTCGGTCGCAGGACCTGCGACTCCTGTTGGCTGATCAGGCGGTCGAGATCCGCGACCTGACCGGACGGCTGGATCGCGCCTCCCGTCAACGAGACGTTATGCGAGATGACAACGACCATCTCCTTAGGGAGATGGCACTCGCCGGATCTGAGATCCACCAACTCCAATCCCGGATCCACGACCTCGAGCGGGATCTGGAGGATTCCCAGACTGCTAGGGCAGCTGCGGATGTGAGCTTGGACCGCCTTCGTGACGAGTTGCGTTTGACCCAGGAGGAGGTGGTGACCAACGACTATGTGGGATCCGCCCATGACGGATCCGCCTTAGGGTCGGCGCGTGGAGGGTCCCCCGCGCCAAATCCACCTCCCTCGTCGCCGGATGTAGCCCTGGCTCAACTCTCTGAGGAGTTGCAAGACACCAAGGAGTCGCTCGAGAGGGCGTCTGCCGGACGAGATTACGCGCTTGAAGAATTCGTGCGTATGACTCGATTGCGGGACGAGATCCAAACGAAACTGGCAGACAGCGAGCTCCAGCGGGACAAGGCGACTACCGAGTGGGCGGATGCCGAGCGTGCGCTAACGGAGCTGGAATCCAAGCTTCGCCGCATGAGTACGTGGATCCTCTTTTAGCCCTTGCTAGTAACTCCATATTCACTTGTTATTGTCAATCTAGGTGACAAATTGAGGAAAGCAGATGCGACCACCGCGAAACTCCAGGATCAACTTTCCGCAGCCCAAACTCAGCAGCAACAGCTGATCCTGGAGCGCGATCGCGGCCTGTCGGAGCGCGATTTGGCACGTCGACGACTGGCGCTGGTGACAGCTGCCGTCTCGGATCCACTTCCTCCCTTGTCGGGGCCCTCTCAGGCTGCTAGCGTTTCTGCTCCTCTTCCGACGGTAAGTGGGGCGGATTCGTCGACTGCGAAACGCCCGCGTAGTAAGCAGGCCCGAGCTTCCCCGAAAGCCAAGCCCAAAACGACTCCGGTTTCTAAATCTGCTCCGCAAGCGGGATCCACTTCTGTGTCCAAGGCAGGATCTACACCCGCGCCCAAGACTTCCGTTTCTCCCTCGAAGTCAGGTGCCGGATCCAAGTCTGGATCCACCGCTAGATCCAAGTCTACCTCGGCGTCCAAGACTGGATCTACCACTACGTCCAAGTCTGGATCCGGACCCAAGACTGGGTCTACGACGTCCAAGACTGGGTCTATGGCCGTATCCAAACCGGGATCGACGTCCAAGACGGGACCCACCGCTGGTCCTTCGGTGACGACGCCCATCGTTCCTCAGTCCGCTTCCACCAACCCTCCGCCGGCCCGTACTGGACCCGGGAAGGGGAAAGCTAAACGCGTCATTCCCCCTGGGTGTGGACTGGGTAGTTCGGAGGACGATGAGGATGAGGAATCTGACTGGTCCGACGGCTCAGGGCCTCCTAACCGATCGTCGTCAAAGCGTACGCCGTCTGCCGGCAATGAAGCCGGACCCAGAGGCGGCGCAGAAGCTGAGCGGCTTGTTGTCACCAGCCACGACGCGGAACTTGTCTCGGGCGCTAAAATCTGTACGAACGAGCACGCCAGCGAGTGAAACTGCGAATGCTGCTGCTGTGACGCCCCCGACAACGCAGGAGCTCAAGATGGTGGCGTTGCAGATGGGGCTGCCGTTCATCGGCTTCGGCTTCGTGGACAACTTTATCATGATCATCGCCGGAGACTACATTGACCTCACGCTGGGCGTGTCGCTTGGTATTTCATCCATGGCAGCAGCCGGCATCGGCAACACCATCTCGGATATTGCGGGTCTGGGACTGGGCAACGTGGTCGAAGATTTCTGCGCGCGAATTGGACTTCCTGTTCCAGCACTGACCAACGAGCAGGTGTGTGTCTCTCTCTTGGTATTGCTTCGCAACCTGTGTGTGTACTGATAGTATTGATCTTCTCACTGCTTGCCAATTATTGTTATCGTAGATGCTATTGAAGAGCACACGACTGGCGAAGGTCACAGGCAGCTCTATCGGCGTAACTATCGGCTGTCTGTTGGGCATGGTTCCACTGCTATTCCTCGAGACGAGGCCAAAGAATGACAACCCCGCCCCATCAAAGCCAACGGGTAGCAACGATGAGTAGACTCTAGACTAACACGTAATAAGACAAGTTAATGGATGTTCACAGGTCGGACCTTATACGGCATTCCGTTCACCCCACATGAATGACATGGTGCCGTCACCAGCCATCGCTTCCGACGTAGCGCGTTCTGTGCAGCAATGGTTCGAGAGCAACTCGCAATGCCAGAAGAAAGTTCTCCCCTCAGAGTGGACGGTCCTCGCAGGCATCGTATTGTGCTCCCCATTTTCAGAGCCCAACGATAAACTCCGCGTTCTAGCAGTAGCTACGGGCAACAAATGCCTCGGTCGACGCGACCTGAACGCCGATGGCCTCGTAGTCAACGATTGCCACGCTGAAGTGCTGGCCAGACGAGCGCTCCTCCGCTATTTGTACGCCGAGGCGCTCTCTTGGCAGGAAAACGGGCTGGAGCTAAGTGAGCATTCGATCTTCGAGCGACATTCAACGTCGCGTCGTCTAGTACTTAAGCCACAGCATTCGCTGCATCTCTTCATCAGCGAAGCGCCCTGTGGCGACGCCGCCATCTACGAACTGCGTCACGATGTTGTCGATGAATTAGTGCATCAACGCGAAGCCAAGACTGGACAGGCGGGTCAGAGAGAGCGGAGTGCGTTACGTCTGACAGGAGCCAAAGCGCACAGCAAGCGACCGAGAGATCAAGACACTGATGACTTGCAGCCAGACAAGAAATTCGCACAAGCAGTTGGCATTGCGCGTGTGAAGTCTGGACGATCCGATCTACCGCTGGAGAAGCAGACGTTGTCCATGAGTTGCTCTGATAAACTGGCCAAGTGGAACGCACTAGGACTGCAAGGCTCGCTGCTGTTGCAGTGGTTTGAGCCGATCTTTTTAAGCTCCATCATTGTGAGTAAAGACGAGGAAGCACTGTCAGTGACGAAGCAAGAATACCGATAATACACAGCTAAAAAACATTAGAACGAAGACACCGCAGCTGTAGCTGTCCAGTTGCGTGAGCCACTCGCATCGCGTGAATCGAAATCGCTTTGGAGACTCGCCGCGAACCTTGACATCTGTTAGACCGTGTCTTTCCAGAATGTGTACACACGTAGGTCTTGTTGTAGAACTGTACTTCTTCTGGCAGAATGGTGCCTGGGGTTTTG